ATCGTGTTTAGCTTGTGTCTTCAGTCAGTTTGCATGGTGCAAACAGGCTTTCCCTGAGCTCACTGCAGCCTTCTTAATTTCTTGATAGTCCTGATGACAATTATTTAGGGTTACAACAGGATCTTCAACCCTTGCTCAGACCCAGCTCTATCACTAGGATTCAGATTCTGCCAAGATGCAAAACAATCTTTTATAAAATGATGAAAGGGATAAAGTCCTCAAATGGACCCAGCATTATTATTAGGTTTTGTTTATTACAAGGAGATAAAGTCCTCTTCAGGATCTCCACAAGCTGACATGGAGCCTTCTCAACAAGGCAGTGGAAAATAGAGAGGATGAGGCTCTGCGTCCCACCCTACCTGGAGCATCCTGCACTGAAGTACAACCAGGATCCTCCATCCACCAGGAGAGGGAGAATCACTGAGCAGGCAGCCAGGGTGGAGAAAGGGCACCTCAGAGGTCTGCCCCTACTCCCCAGGCTGTCTCTGTGTTTTTCACACGTGGATTTGGTTGGGTTGGATGGAGGCTTCCCTGCTGGGAACACGACCCCCAAAAGCAGCAGCCCTGTTCAGGAACAAGCCAGGTCTCCATTGTCCTCTCCCTGTGAGGGCTCTGGGGTCCCAGATGTTCCAGCATGGCAGGGGGGTGCTGGATCCCAGCACAAATACTGTGGGTGGTGTCAGTGCCCTCCACACCAACACCATCCAAAGGGTGGATGTCCCCAAGGTGGGTGTCACAGCCTCCTCCTTTGGAAAGGATACCAAGCTTTGCCAGGAACTGTGGAGCTGGATGCCCAGGAGAGGTGCCCAGAGGGCTGATTTTGAGTGAATAGGAAGAACTCCTCTTTGAAACAAGACCAGGTTTCACTGTTTTACTGTGCCACAGGTCCTACAATAATTGTTATTCCTGTTCTTTGGCATTGTCCTATTCTCTTACACTGAGATATCAGGCTAAAGTGCTGGTGCATCACTCTGTGTTGCTGTTCCTGATCTTTTACTCCTGTTTTCTATTTCTGGACCTTGGACACATCTTTCTCTGTTTCCTGAGCTCTTCAAGTGTCCACCACTCAATACTGCCTTCCACACATTCTAACATTTATGCTCTTATATAGTAACTCTGACAAACCCCAGCCCAAAAACGCTTCCTCTCTCAAAGTGTTGTTGCATATTCACGTACATGAAAGCAAGACTTAATTTCTTCCATTCTTTACTCACTCTCTAAGTAAGACCTCACAGCCCATCAGAAGAGCCTGATGCTCCAGCACGTACAAAATTTCCAGCCAAGGAGCTGTTCTGGGGACTCCCTGCCTAGTTCTGTTCATCCCAGTGCAAAGAAATGGGGGAAACTGTGGCTGCACTCAGGACACGTCCCTTGCAAGGGCTTATTTGCATGGCAATGAGGATGGTAATGAGCCCCTTGTCTTCAGATGTACACGAGGTTCTAGCGGGTGAAAAACCGGCCAAAGTTGAAATTCAGACGATTCATGGCTTCTCTTTCTTTTCAATTTGTGTTTTGTATCTGGATGCAAAAGACAAAGCACGTAGTACAGAGACTGAATTGTGCAATGAACCACTAAACTCTGGATATAAGTTGTTATTTTAACAAACCAACAGGCTGTTTAAGCAAGCACCAATCTCTTAAGTAGCCTGGCTCGAGCAGTAATTACTAGTTGAATTTTAAAAGAGACCCTTCTTTTATTTGCTTTGTTACCATAGCTTTTTGTTTTCTTTTCCTCTCTCTTGAAGCTAAAAAAAGTGCTGCATAAAGCTGCAGCTCCTCTGAGAACCCAGTGTGCTGCTAACAGGGTTCACAACAACACTGTGAAAGAGTTCAGGGAAATTAGCCCCTTTCTCCGGTGGGGAAACTGAGGCACGAAGCCTCTCCATGACAAGGGAATGAGCAGGATTACATCTTTAGTGAAGTCCTTCACCTGCCTTGCTCCCAAACACACGGAGCTATGGCAGGATCAAGCTGGGACAACGTGATGTTGAAGGCATGAGAGCCAGGGATTGCCTTGCAGAGAGATCAGGGCTCTGTGTAGAGGCTGGTCCCCAGGTGGAATCAAAACATCATAGAATTATAGAACTGTTTCAGTTGGAAGGGGCTTAAAGATCACTTAGTTCCAATCCCCTGCCACGGGCAGGGACACCTTCCTCTACACTAGGTTGCTCCAAGCCCCATCCAGCCTGACCTTGGACACTTCCAGGGATCCAGGGGCAGCCACAGCTTCTCTGGACAATCTGTGCCAGGGCCTCACCACCCTTACAGGGAACAATTTCTCCCCAGTATCCCATCCAACCCTGCCCTCTGGCAGTACGAAGCCATTTCCCCTTGTCCAGGCCTTTATCCAAAGTCCCTCTCCAGCTCTCCTGGAGCCCCTTTAGGCACTGGAAGGAGCTCTAAGGTCTTCCCAAAGCCTTCTCTTCTCCAGGCTGAACACCCCCACCTCTGTCAGCCTGTCTTTGTAGGGAATGGATAGGGTGTGGGTCTGGGCAGGAAAACAAACCCACCCACTGTTCCCAAGACCTGAGACTGAGGAGAGGGATTGATACTGTTCTTGGAAAGCCATGGCTGAAACACATTGCCTGAAGTATCAATGGTTCCTGAGGGTCCACAGTGGTGGGATGGGGGCAAGGTGAGAATGAGGGATGGCTCAAAGCCATGGTCAGATGGAAAATGGAGGAGATGCTTCATGCAGTGCAAAGGGGGGTTGGTCCCAGCACCCCTGGGGGGTTTAGAAGCCCCTGGCTGTCACTCAGGAGGCAGTTTCTGCTGGGGTTAGAATCAGATGTGGTGATTCAAGCAGCATAGAGCCAACTCATAAATCTCACCACTCTCCCCGAAAGAACAAACTCCTTTAATCCAAAACAACCAAGGTGGAGTCATTGCCTCCACAAAAGCTAACTCTGGTGTTAGGGAGATGGCGGGAAAGATGGAGAGAGATTATTTACTAGAGCATGTAGTGACAGGACAAGGGGGTTCAAACTGTCAGAGGGCAGGGTTAGATGGGATATTGGGAAGAAATTCTTCCCTGTGAGGGTGGGGAGGCCCTGGCACAGGTTGCCCAGAGAAGCTGTGGCTGCCCCATCCCTGGAAGTGTCCAAGGTCAGGTTGGACAGGGCTTGGAGCAAGTGGGGCTAGTGGAAGGTGTCCCTGCCCAAGACAGGGGATTGGAATGAGATGGATCTTTAAGGTCCCTTCCAACCCAAACCATTCTGTGGCTCTGATTATTGCTCCATTCAAACTCACTGACTACACCACCAGCAGCTGCACGTTAAGCTGCAAATGCCATTGATTTCCATGAAGCCCCTGGGTATTCCCAGCACAGAGATGTCATTCCTGCTTCCTGTCCTTTTTCAGTGCCTCCTTCAGCACATATTGACAACCAGCATGGACTCCAACCTGGCTTGGATTGGCCTTCAGCAGATGGTTAAGCTGCATGGCCACATCTGTGCTTTCCCTGCCCAACCATCACAAAATGCTGGGATCTGTCTGTCTCCTCTCATGTCCCCATGGTGGAATAGCCCACATACCTAATGTTGAGTCTGCCTGTAATTTCTCCACTTTTTAGGGATGGGTGTGAGGAAGTTTTACTGGAACCAGCACTCTGAGTTTCCTGGATGATGGTTTTCCTCCAGCAAACAGCCTGGGGAGCTTTAATGCAGCGCCAGTCACGAATTTCTGGCTCCTGGCACCTGTTTTACTGTTTTGACACCAGGCTTTTTAGCTCAGGGAAAATAATAATGATATCCAGAGTTAATGTTATTTACTAAAATACAAATTAATGCTCGGTCACATGGCACAATTTGTCATCCAGAGCTAAAATTAAAAGAAATTAAGGCTGACTCAGACAGTTATTTCAGATCTGAGGGGGGAATGCTAAGTGTTGAGGCCATGCGGGAGCAACAGTGACATCTTCTGGCTCCGTAAAAAAATCTCCAGCTTTTTCACCAAGAAAACCACAGGGAAACTCCACAAAAACTTAATAGGGGTTGGGTGGACAAAAGAGTTTTCAAGTGGGAGGGACAGGCTTTGTGGCAGTGGATATTATCTGAGCCACCTTAGCATGACTGAAAATTTGAAGAGAGGGTGTGTGACACTGATGATCCAAAATGCCTGAGCAGAAGAGTTGAAGGGGTGTTGCTCTTCTCTCAGTGCAGGGGACAGGGCTGTATCCACACTTTTAGGCTGCAGGGAAAGTAAAATATGTAGGAAGAGGCAGGCACCAAGAACTGATCCATGCAGACCAAACACTTTTTCCTGTCTGACGTGGAATAGGACAGGGCCTGGCTGCCTTGTGTTGACAAACCACGACACAGAAGCTGTTCCCCAGAATGATGGCCCAGCCTCCCTGTGAGCTGTGTGTGTTTGCACAATGGCTCACAGCTGATTTGGGGGTGCTGGTTCCGCTGCTGGGAGAACTTCTGCAGTGGGGGCTAGGAGAGTCCTGCCAAAAATACAATATTATCCATCACGCTCTCAGGCACAGGGTGTGACTCTTGGGGATGTCCTGTGCAGGGCTTAGAGTTGGACTCGATGATCCTTGTGGGTCCCTCCCAGCTCAGCGTGTTCTGGGATTCTGTGATCATCATCACTGAAGGGTTGATGCCTTCCAATCCTGCACAGGCTAGATCTTCCCTCTGGTGGTAATGGCATTTCAAGTCAAGGACCTAATAGCAGAACTGTAGAATCACATAATGGGTTGGGTTGGAAGAGACCTTAAAAGTCATCCAGTTCCAATTCCTGGCCATGGGCAGGGACACCTTCCACTAGCCCAGGTTGCTCCAAGCCCTGGCCAACCTGGCCTGGGACACTTCCAGGGATGGGGCAGCCACAGCTTCTCTGAGAAACATGCACCAGTGTCTCTCCACCCATCACACCTTCAGTCTTTTCTACACGTCTCTACCTCTCCCAGGTTGGACTGACCACCGCCCTCGCTCCCCCACGCTCCCATCCCCCTCCTCTTCCTCTAAACCACATTTCTTTTAATCTCTCCCAAGGTTCTTTCTTCCCGTCTCTGAAGCCCTCCGAAATTGTCTTCAAGATCATCTTCTGGCTGGGGTACTTCAACAGCTGCGTGAACCCCATCATCTACCCCTGCTCCAGCAAGGAGTTCAAGCGCGCGTTCATCCGGCTGCTCAAGTGCCAGTGCCACCGCAGGAGACGGCCCATCTGGAGAGTCTACGACCACCACTGGAGAGGGGCCTCTGCCAACAGCTCGGTGCAGGACTCTGAGACAGACCTGAGGCCCAGGATTAACACCCTGAACAGCTCCTTCATATTTAACTCCTCCTTCCAGGAGAGAGCCAGTAAGAGGCGAACGCTCAGCTTCAAGGGCTGGAAAATGCTCACTCCTTTCCAGAAACCAGCGTCCACCCAGCTGAAGGAGAAGATGAACAGCCTTTCTAACAAAATCCGGGGTGGCTCCAGCAAAGGGGGGGTGACAGCCACCTACAAAACAGAGGTGGAGTCTGTCTCTATTGGGATCCCTCATGATTTCACGGAAACCATCGACTATCAAACCCATGACTTAACAGACTGCTGTGGGCTGAGAGAAACAGATATTTGAACCCTCTGGAACAGCTCTCGATGGTTTCTTTAGAGGTATCCAGCAGAAATGTGGAGGGATACCATCTGTGGGTCTGTCAGGCAGACTGGAAGCAGCAATCAGGTATAAAATGCAGTTGCCCAAAGGTTATCCAAAAATCCCCCACGTGGCGCTCAGCCCCTTCTGTGGGATTATGGGTTCCTCAAATAAGAGCCAATGGCATATCCCATTTTAGCAAGCCTCAGCAGGAGGGGAAGATGTGGGGTGGATATGACCTTAGGAGAAGAACTGTCTCCCTCCAGGGGATGGTTGTCTTTGACTTTGGAAGAAGCTGTGCAATTAAGGGAAACCAGGATGCCTCCTTTGCCTTAAAAACACCACCGTGAAATCTGATGGAAAGATCAAACCCCAAAAGATGCCAACCCTGCCTTAGTACATGTGATCATGTTTCCATCCAGGAAGGACACTGCCGAGCAGCAGCTTGCAGCTGATCCTTTAGATGATGGGTTGGGAGCTTGTAGGTCTGCAGGGCTGGACAGGACCTCCAGCCAAGCCCTTGGCTCTGGAGGTTGAGCAGACTGGGGTATTTCCAAGCAGGGTGGGGGAATCCTGGCTCTCAGCCATCATCTCTGCAGTGACCACAGCTTTGCCCCTTCCACATAACCTGGTTTTAGGCTGGAGGAGGAGTCCAGATGTCTACACAGGGTGTGCAGGTCTCTCTCCTCTAATTCCAGCCTGTGAAGCATTTCCCATTTCACTTTCCAGTGAAACACTTGCAATCCACCTTGCTTTAGTGCTCATCCATCTGTGATACAGAGAGTAACCGGTTCCTTTTGGTGTCAGTCATCCCCAACCTTTTCTGTCCCCTTCTTGCTCTAGTTGTTTCTCTGAAAAAACACGGGATAAAAATACATCCCAGGGTATTCACTCAGGACGAGAGGAAATGGCCTCAAGGTGTGCCAGGGGAGGTTTAGGTTGGATATTAGGAAAAATTTCTTCACTGAAAGGGTGGTCAGGCATTGGAACAGAGAAGTGGTGGAGACACCACCCCTGGAAGTGTCCAAATATGTGTGGATGTGGCAGCTGGTGACATGTGCCATGTAGTGAACATGGTTAGTGGTTGGACTCGATGATCCAAGAGGTCTTCTCCAACCATAATGATTCTGTGATGCAAGTCCTCAACCATCCTGCTCTGTGGCTCAGGAAAGGTGGGATGGCTGAGTTTGGAAGTTTGCGTTTCCACTGCCCATTGAGTCAAAGCTAAAATGGAACTGATGTGCAGATGGATCTCCTCCCCAGTCAGGGTCATGCTCCTGACTCTTCTCCCAAGGGACTTCCCAAAAACCTGATACATCAAACCTTTGGTTTTGCCTTGGGTGTGTCCGCTAACATGGTCAAGAGCAACGACAGTAAGGGTTGATTTTCCCTGCTCACAGCCCCAGAGTGTGAGCACCCCTCAGGAGGGCACCACGGTCTCCTCCGGGAAACTCAGGGAGTTGGGGCCATGACAGGCCCACCTCGGCCAGGCGACTCAGAAAGTGGTCACCCAAACTCTACTTGGCCCTGTGTTGCAGGCACTGGTTTCAAAATTCAGGCTGGTTTTATCAAACTTCAGATAATGATCATCAGGTTAAGGCATGAGCAGGAGACACGTAGGTGATGGAGGTGAAGTCTGGATCTGAGCTGAAGCAGCTTAAGCCAGGTGACTAAAGAACAGGAACGTGAAGTCAGAAGGTGGAAACATGGCAATGAATGTGTTCCTGGGTGGAAGCTCATCCACATCAGCACTGTCCCCCAAACCCATGAGGAGTCTTTCATGAATGTGCCTACAGCACATGCAGCTGATCAAGGGTGGCTGTCAAAGGAAGATGAAAGGCTCCTTGGCACATTAGAGAGAATGTCACCTTTCTTTCTGCTGTTCATTTGCTTCAAAGTAAAACAAAAGAGAGAGAAAGTTGGACTTTTTTATTTTTTAGTCTTTTGAGCAGTGCATATTGAGACTAGGTATCTGGAGTTGGTCCCATCTCAACACCCTTAACACCCTTTACTTGATGCAGGACTCCAAACTGGACCAATTATTGCACAAATATCAGGAGATTTTGTCCAAATATTTTCCTCCCAGCAGCAAATCCCACCAAGGCACATGGGGCAGCATTGCATTTACACTGAAACCAGACTCATCATGTTCTCCAGCATCTGCAAAACCACCCAGAGGTTCCAGCTGGGGAGGTTCAACCCCACAAAAGCAGGGACCCAACACCCCGTGGGAATTTTTGTGGGGAAATACATCTTTTTTTTTCCCCCATATCTTTGGTTTTTCGGGGAAGTGAGACCCTGCAGTGATGATGGGGTGACATGAAAAGTCATTTTGCATTGTAAGGACTGCAGGTGCCACTGGTTTTCCAGGGAGCTTTGGGGATCCTCATGGGAGGCACTGGAGATGTAGCAGAGAAGGGACCAGGGAGGGGGCAGTCCATGAGTGCATCCATGACCAGAGAGATACATGTACACACTTTACTGTATTTATATACATGGGTCATCTCTAAAATACAAGGCATTCTCCTACAAAGGGGCCAACATCCTCCTATAAATGAAGATTCAGTAAATGTTGGCAAGCATTCCCATAAATGAGTTGGTATTATTGCTTACACTTCTCCCTGACTTTTTTATCTACTCCTTTTTTTTTTTTTTTCCCCAGTTTTGAAACATTTACATTTACAGCCTCCAGCCCCTTGAAAGCATCTGGAAGGGAAAGAAAGATTAGTCTGGAGGTTTGCTGCCTCTCCATCCCAATTCTTTACGCACCTACAAGGGAGAAAACAAGGATAAATATTTAAGCACACATGAACACACATGTCAATGCCCAAACTCTGGCTCAGTTACTTACTGAGTTTGATCTGGCCCCAAGAGATGCCCTAGAAGGTGCTGTAGGGAAGCTTTGAGCTCTGCTGTGCTGCATTCAGGCAAAATACTTTTTTCTCACCTAAGCCAGAACCCTCTCTTTCATTTGGCCTCTTGCAGCAGAAGCAGTGCCAGGACTGGACTCTGGGACTGCTCCTGGAGGGGTTTGATGGGAGCAGACAGGGCTGTCATTGCTGGCAGGGGGAGGAACAACAATGTCATGTAAAATATGACCCAAGTCTGTAAAACTGAGCATTTCTCTTTGAATCCCTTACTTTTCCAAACTCTCCCAAGTTTGGAAACACGGGCTCAGACCTTCAGGAGGTAAATTCGGTCTGATCCCACGGATTTCTCTGGACCCACAAGGGTGTGACCAGCTGAGGGAATGGCCCTGTTTCTCCAAGTTTGCCACACAGGCCGTTCCCCAAAGCACCTGCACCTTGCTTTTGCAGCAGATCTCACCTCATTGCACTGGCTCCATGTCACTATTGCGTTGTCAGACCTTGCTGCTTCAAGGAACTAGTTGTTGATGAGTTTTGGTGTCACTGGACTCCCCTGAGTCCACGAGGGAAGGAAGGTCCCTGTCAGCCTGAGCTGGACTGCAGTTGGGTTGCATTACTATTGTTTACAGCGTGTATATAAGTGTACATTTTCTTTAGCAGACATTGGAATTTTTTATGTATAGATTTTTATTTTTCATCCCCAGACGTATTTATTAGCCAGAGTATTTCTGTTTTGTGTTCCGAGTTCTGTCAGATCGGTGTAAGCTCTATGGAACAGAATGCACATATTTTTGTTTGTTTGTACCAAATACATGCACAAACCTGTCTAAAATGTTGCTGTGAATTGTTGCTGTGTCTGATTTTTAAAACAAGGGCTGTAGGGACTGAGGAAGGGAGGGAGGGAGGGAGAGAGGGAGGGAGGAAGAAACACCTGAAAATTATCCACTCGTGGTTATTTCTCAAAGACTTTTTTTGCAATTTCACAAGGATAATCTTTCTCACATGCAAGAATTTGTGACAAAAGCAAGTCAGGGCAGAACAATCTCAGGGATGAAGGGGTTGCACCTCCCACATCTAGAGAGTAGGTTTAGATTAGATATTAGGAAGAAAATCTTCCCTGTGAGACTGGTGAGACCCTGGCACAGGTTGCCCAGAGAAGACGTGGATTTCCCATCCCTGGAAGTGTCCAAGGCCAGGTTGGATGGGGCTTGGAGTAACCTGGTTTAGTGGAAGGTGTCTCAGGGAGGTCTTTAAAGTCCTTTCCAACCCAAACCATTCTGTGATTCTTACGTATATATCATATATATATGTGTGTATGTGTGTATATATGTGTGTATATATATACACACATATATATACACATATATATAAATATATTTTTATATAAAAATTTAAATATATAAATATATATTTATAAATATATATAAATATATGTATGTGATATATATCTGAGACAGGACAGGGAAAGGCGAAAGGGAAAGGCAGAAGGAAAAACCAAAAGGAGATACAACATGAAAACACTGGATCAGTATTTGATAGCAGTCAGAGGTGAAAAATACATCAGGGAATTTGGGGACAGAGAATGGAAGAGATGGAGAATGACCTTGAAAATACCTTTGCAGCTCTGAATACATCGATGATGCACTTTTAATTTGACCACTGTTTGCTTTTGATTAGTCCAGCTCTAGAAAGATAGAAGGGACCTAGAATGGATACAGGATGGTTTCCATCTAAAGGATAATTAAATCAAGGGGCGCTTTCCTGGAACACAGAGATGACTGAGGAAGAACACAATGGAGCTCTATAAAACCAGGAGTGCTGGGGACAAGATGAATAGTGGATGACTGTTCTCTGTTTCTCATAAAACGACATCAAACCCAATTATCAAAATGAACAAAATGAGGTACATTTTTGAGTGGTGGAGCTCATCACCATGAGATATTGCACCTGCCAGAAGTCTGTAGGGGTTAGAACAGCAACTGAGGGCCTCAGTGACAGGTAAGTCCATCAGGGGCTGTTGGAAACATTTATATAATCTCTGAGCTGAGAAATCCCTGAGGCAGCAATTGCTGTCAGCTGGGAGAATATTTCAAGGGATATTTCACTGTTGGCTTTTTCTTTCCTTCTATTCCTCCCAGTTTCCATCGTGAGAGAGGGGATTCAGCTGGAAGGACCCAGGCTCTGTGTGTCCCCTCCATCTGAACTGAGCCCATCCATGCCCCAGTTACATCATTCATTTTCCTGCTCGGAGGCTGAAATGAGAAAATAAACAGAAAATTCAAGATTAGTCTCCAATGCACATTAAACCATCAAGGTCACATGATTTTGCCATCATTGTGTGCCAGTTCCTGCTGGGGAATTTCTGTTACCACTCAGAATTTGAAAACCATGTCCTCAATAAACTGACTTTTACAATCTTTCCACAGGATAGAGATTGTAGCTGGGGCTGGGATGTGCCCAGAGTTTTCCCAATAAACTTCAGCCATCCTGTGCAAAGGCTTCCACCTGTATTTTTTTTTTTCTCCATTTTCAGACATCTGAATGTCCCTCCATGGAGACACACATCATGAAGAGTGACATTAAGGTCGCTGATAATTAGGTTTGCTTTTTCTCAGTCCCATCTGTGGGATTCAGCTCATGGATTTAAAACATCTCCATTCAAATAAGGTCTGTGTGTGAGTCATGTTTAAACCTCACTAGAGAAAAAAAACCACAATAATTTATGTCTGAATATAGGTGTTTCATTGCATTTGAGCCATCCCAGGCTATCCAAGACATCTACACATGGAAATAGGACGGAAAACCTGTTGTGCAAAACTGACTCAGGATCACAGCAGAAGGGCCTGACCTGTGAGCTGGGAACAGAAGTTGGGCAAAGAACAGACAGAATGTGAAGGTCTGATCCCTTCTCATCCCTCAGGAAAAGAGGACACAGGATATTTGCTGAGGTTGAGCTCATCACCAAGAGTCAGATGAACGCTTGACTTGCAGGGTGGATCCCAGCAGCCAGTCCCTGTGGCATCCTGGAGGTCCTTGGAGTCCTGACAAGGCGGTGGAAAGGACACATCAGAGATAGAAAATGACATTGAGGTCCCATGAGACCAGGAA